TGGATTTAAGTCATAGCTATTGCCTCCCTGACTTCAAATCATAGTTAACTTATTTGACGGAAAGAGTAACGTTAACAGCGTAAGAATCTACTGATTTATCTGAATATTGTTATAAGGAAGTTAACTCCTAGTACCATTGATTCTTTTAGGTTTCATTAATAAACCAGGTATTAAATATATTCACAAAATTGTTCTTATTATTGGTATTTGTAGCCCAATTATCTTTTATAGTTACTGTATTTTCTTTAAACCAGTCAGCTGCAGTTCCTTTTAAGTATACTCCAGCTATGGCTTTCTTCCTTACAGCATTTATCCATCAGTTGATAGTGGTGGCTTTTTTAAAGGCAGCAAGCCATTCTACAGGATCTTCAGCTTCAGTGTTATAAAGTAATTAACCTTTGCTGTAGTTTGTTTAGTTTGTCCTAATGCATTTAATTAAGTTTCATCTATTCCAAAGATTTCTTCTAGACCTAGTCTTATTTGTTTACCAGTAGCTGCTATTGTCATTATTTCTGGTAGTGGGGTAGTAACTGGAATTGTTGATAAGCTAGTTGCAGAGGGTATTGAAAGGCAATTAATTATCGAAGTAGTTGTTGGTCTTTATGAATCTGTATTAAATCCTAGTCAAGGATTTCTATATAACTTTTAATAAAATAGATTGATCAACAGGTTGTTGAAAGCAATTTGTTTCAAAAGAAACACCTTGAACATACAAATATATTATGTCTGATGAAAAAGGTATAGTTCTATATCAGAGACTAGAAAGTAACTGATAAATTATCTTAGTTAATCAGCTATTATAATGTTCTAATACTAGGTATTACTTAATTATTCAAATAAGTTAAAAGCAATAACTGATCTTGCTGTATAAGTTTCAGCCTGATATTCGTAATGAAACCAGTTCTAAAAATTTTGAAAATTGTTTGAAAATATATTAAATAGAGGGGTGGATAATACTAACTATAAGTATAGTCTTCGTTAAGGGGAGAATTTGAATAATGTCTCACAATATATTTTACTGTATTTCTCTCGATTGCTTTAAAATTTATATACCTTACTATTTCGTCAGCAATTCGTTATATATGAAATTATCTCTATTTTTTAATTCTTTTAACTCAAACTTTTATACACCTCGCTAAATCTGTTAGTGGTCTATTATATATAAAGTTAATAGTATCCTGAAACTTGTTAACATTACTCTTTTCATCAAATAAGTTAACTATAATTTAAAGTCAGGGAGACAATAGCTATAACTTAAATCCAATCAACTATACATGCTGATTATTAGAGAGTTTTATTTAGTTAACAAGAAATAGATTATAAGTTTTATGTTTGCAAATATTAAGAATGTTTATTATTGTTATTAAATGTATATTGAATACAATATTAAGAACTTATTGGAATTTATCCTTTTTCCAAGATATTTTCATGCTCTTTATATAAGAAAATTACAATTAAAGAAAATCTATGATAATTATGATACTACTGATAATAATAACAGAGCTAACAGATATACTAATTATGATATAAATAATAATAATAATATAAATAATAGAAATATAATAAATAATATGTTTGTCCTATTTAGCAGATATATCATATTCAGCATATATATCATATTCGACAGGTTTGTCAGTTTTTGTCAATTCAGTATATATTTTCAATCTTAGGATAGTTTTTAGCAAATAGCGTATTAGGTAATTTAACAAAATTTATATTATTATAATTTTAATTATTAATTACTTAATTTATTTTAGAATTAAAATAGAACAACTTTAAGTAATGGCACAAATGCATTCATATATTATAACAAATGCAAAATCAGAATTAAAGTTTTTAAATGAAAACATTTCTTTAGAAACTCTTGATGAAACTTTTGATCAAATTGCATCAGCAATAGTAAATAGAAGTGATTTATTTGAAGATAATGAAGAATTTTAAACAAATTTTACTTTTGAACATAATGAAATTGAAGATATAGAAGAATTAATTAATGATAATTTAGAAATCATTGATTATATTGATTTATCAGCAAGTATATTAAATGCAGATAATATTAATTGTGATAAACAAGAAGAAGAAATCAGAATTGATCATGAAGATCTAGATTTTGATGTTAATGAAATGGTAGAAAATTTAAAATTTTAATTTTAGTAATAAAATAATAGTTTTAAAAAAATTAAGATTATTAATAAATATTATGATTAATATAAATATTAAGTTTACATTGTTACATTAGTTTCGTAACTTCAAATAAAATCTCAAAAGGGATAAATAAAACTAAGACAATTATTTAAGAAATCACGGATAAGGATCCACAATAACGTCAAAGAATTATTTTTAATAATAAACACGTGAGATAAACACAAAATAAATACAAAGATAACTCAAAGATATTTCAGAGATTATGCTTCAGAGACTCTAAGTCAATATAGCGAATTAATACAATATCATATAATAAGTTAATTAACAAAAGGGATTGCATAAATACAAAGGATCACAGATAATATATAACAGTTTTAATGGGTTTGCAAAGAATAAGTTTTATAGTTGGTTAATTATACTCCTTTATTAATATAATATATAAGTTTGATACCTAAAAGATTAAGATCTCGTCAGTCATCTTTGCCAGAAAGGTAATGAGACTTAATAAAAATACAAAGATATTTATA